TGATGAGAAACAAAATAAAGAATCTTTTTTACATTGATGAAAATAATGTTCTTCGAAGTTGCTACAAAGAAAATGGGCGTATTGGGCGTGTAATCTGCAGGAATCAAATGTACGAATCATTCATACAATGTAGTTTAAATGTCCTGGTCCTCCAGAGGATATGGTCGGCTGACCACAGCTGGGTAGACTAAACAGAGACTACGCAGATAGGAAACTGTTACATTACATTAGAATTACCTTGTAAAAATTGTAATGTTTAAGTCTACATATCTTAACAGCAACAATAACATATCTAACATATCACATAATTAATAAAGAGCTATCAAATGTTAGGGTATACATCTAATTAAAAGCAAATGTAATACAATTTTAGTAGTTCGGAATACAAGCAATTGCTTTTGATCTCGGTGCAACAGAATCAAAATTTAACTTTATTTAAAATTCTAAAAAAATAATCAGTAAATAAAATCAAGTTTACAAATGAGAAGACTTTTTGTTTGAAAAAATAATAAACAACCTCAAGTTCAAGTTCAATTTATTCACCCAAACCAAAATATTGGTACATGGGGTTCATTAACATATATACATTATATACAATCTGGTCAGAGGTACATATACAAAACAAAAAACATGACATATGATTGAAAAAGAAAATAGATAAATAAGAGAGGGGAAAATATATCAAGGAGGACAGACAGCATCATAATTTTTTAAAATAAACATACATAGTTTTTTCAGCATTTTTTTTCTTTTTTGGTTGACATTAATTCCATAAATTTAATAACATTAGGTCTGTGGGAATAATAATTGCCCAGGTAATTTTTTCTTACATTAGCTAAAGTTTTACATTCTAAGATATAATGAAATTCATCAGCAATTTGATTATTATTACAAAGTGTACAGATTCTATCACACAGTGGTATACCATACCATCTTCCAGTCTCTACTGGCAGATGATGATTTGCAGTTCGAAATTTTATAAATATTTTTCTAAATTTAGGAGATAACCTATCAATATAATGTTCAGATCCAAAGTTTTGTTTAAAGATTCTGTAAATCTGTCCTTTTGAAGAATTATTTACGTCACTAGACCACTTTTGAATAAATTGATCTTGTAATATTTGTTTTACAGTAGCAATTATCCATTTATAATTCATATTGACACCCTGTTCGTACCATACATTTGATAAACCACACATATTACATATTTTCTGTATACAGTCTATCCATGGGTTTGTTAAGTTTCCATCACAGTACAGTTTAAACATATGTTTGTATAAAACATTTACAATTTTATTTGGCGGGCCTGAAAAAAGCTTTGCCCAATATGATATCATTCTACAATATACCGTAATATACAGAGGAAAGCGACCTGTTTCACCAATAGTCTTTCGAATTTGATGAACGTAAATTTTTAAGTTTTTGTGATAGATCATTTCTGCATTTTTGTATGCATTTGTCCATTGTTTTTTTTTATATTCTTTACTCATTAAGACAAGATTAGTTTTATTCTCTGTTGAAGTGCGGATCGAACCAAACATATCAACTCCTCAACGTCATGGACAGGTAGTATACAGCCCTGTGCTATTATCGCTATTATCGCGGGTTTTGAAACTACAATGAAACACATTTACACAATGTGATTTTTATGGAAAAAGTTAAGTTTTATGGTCTCCTGTGGATAGAATTCGGTGCAATTTTTCAAAATTCATATTGCCGTTATCTTTAACATTTCAAAACAAAAGCACTAATAAAGGTATCTTTAATGAATATCGAAAGACATGCATAAGAATAAGGAAAAGCTGCAATGTTTCCTCACAAAGGAATGTGAATTTTTCGTCATTAATTAGAAATAAATAACCAGACTGTGAATTCTCTGAATGTGTCGGAAAATTGTACAAGTAAAATAAACATATAACAAGGAATGTATATTCCGTCTTGTTTTCAAATTTGAAAAATATATTTCTGGTAGATTCATTCTCATCGAGATCTCATTTACATCCATCACACCTATATGTAGAATAATACCTTAACCATTTAACACACATACATGTATATGTAGAATAATGTCTTATTCATCATTCAATATTAATTCAATCGATTTCCTAATCATGTTTTATTTTTCTTAATTTTTTATATTCATCTATCAATATTAGACTTCTCTCTCTCCCCCCCCCCTCTCTCTCTTTCTTGTTTTGGAAATATCAATAAATCTTAAGCTCTACCTAATCGTATAATACACTATCTGTCTTTTAATTTGTATCACATAATCAGTTCATTTTATCATTCAAATATGCAGCGAGATTCCACAGTTCTAATTCCTTACAGAAATTTTACTGACAAGAATTCCGTAAATTATTTTCACCAGGTAGTTAAAAAAAGATTACATCAAATTCTTTCATATTAACAGTCAATATTTATAAATGAAATTTATTTATTTGGTTTAGATATTTGATAGAAAATACATGCAAATATCACGATTATATTATTTTTAATAAATGATATCATCCTTTTGTAAAATAAGAGAAATTTTTAAATAAAACAGCGTATTTAATTTTTTCAAATTGTAGTTTAATACCGCTACGTTTGAATGCGTATTGGACCTGAATTAAAAAGCTATAGCAAATGAGCATTTCTGTTTGGTTTTGAAAAATTAAAAATTCTCTGATTTGCTACTTCCTTTCTAAAATTTCTATTTAAACATGTTAAAGGATATTAGTATTCATTAGAATCACCATGATTTCTAATGTACCGATACGGTTTTAGAGAATGAGGATTGAAAGAAAAAGTCCAACCCTAATAATTGTGCATAGACATATGTATTGAAAATTTTATGTTTTTTTAAAAATTCTTTTAGTCATTATTATAATATGTATTTTTTTTTAAACTCAACCCAATGTAATACTTTTGCAAATTATTTGACGCATTCAATGCTTTTTCTTTTCAGTGATAAAATTTAATAGTCTTTAGTTACCTCTTTTTCTGATCACTAACACTTAAGAAAATGAATTTGGCGTTTTGTCATTAGCTAGATATCTTAATTAATTTCAGATTTCACAACTACATGCAGTCATAAATAAAGCACCTTTGATGATACGACGATTTTCCTAGTACGAAAACTTGGGAAACCCAAGATCCCTTCCTTAAGTCCCATCCTTTTTACGTGCATTTTAAAAACAAATATTGAAATGAGTTATCTTGCAAATCATAAAAGAACGTCCGCCTTGATATTTTAAGATCTCATTCATATCTGAGAAACGTTTCTGTAAAGTTAATAGTTATCTCGAATTTGCACTTTATATAATGCACTTAAATTTACGAAAGAAGAATGTCCTGGTACACAATGAGTAATTTCTTTTGAAAACATCTTTATCACTTTGAAGGCAGCCAATAACAAAATCAGGTGTGTCCAACGAATTGATTTAATGTTTGTAATCCTAATCTATACATGTACCAGTAATCGATAAAAAGGTAAAAATCTTTAAAGCAAATAATTGTTTACACTGGTATTCTTTATTGTTCATATAAGGATCTGTGTTAAGAAAATTTTCATGCGAAATACATATCTACCAATTTTCGAGCGAACTAAAAATTACTAGGAACCATTAATTTTTGTTGCAAGTACATCTAACAGGTCTTGTGTAAGCATCCTCTGCGCTAATTATTTTTTTCTCAAATCAGAAATTTAAATGAATAATCAGAGGATAGATCGATTCCTTACAGGTTTTCAAAACGCACTATTCATATATAATTTCATGCCATACACTGTTCAAACATCCCCAGCTCATCTTTAATTTTCCCATTTTTTGACGATAGAAATTATATTCGTTATGTTTATTGATCATTATTGTTTATATTGAAGTACAATCCTAATTAAAATAAACAATTCTCTCACAGATAACGTAGTTAAGACGATATATCTCTAATGTTCCATCTATTACTCTGTCCATTGTACTTTGGAAGCATACGGAATATGAACATTTCTCAATTTCATTATGTCTTTTAAAATTTATAAGAAAGAAATGTTCCATGCTTCATGACAAAGTTGTTTTTGAAAACCAGTCATCCATGTAAATATTCAATATTCACATGGCAAAAGATTTGATTGTTGGGTCAAATCTTATTTAATGATCATTGTTCTGGGGACCAAGGAGAAGTTGGTCCCATGGAAATATTATTACAAATAAAAAAAAAATTGGCAAAGAACATGAACAGTGATCGATCTCATAAAAACTACAAACAATACAAATATAATCGTGATCAGGGCAAATACACGGACCTTTGGAAATTCCAGATGTCGTCCATTTTGCTGAAGACCAATTTTTCTTGTTTTGGTGATTTAGCAAGATCACAGAAAAAATAAATATGATCAAAGACGAACATGACTTACAAAATACAGATTACAAGGATTTAGCTGCCTACGATCTCACATTTCAACAATATAGCTTTGATCGCTAAAATCACGAATTTTTTAAAAGAAAATTATTGCATTGAAAGATTCATCAACAATAATGATATAAATGTAACCTTGTTAATAATTTCATTTGTATTGTGCTCAAAGCAACTGATGATACTTAAGAAATAATATATCATTTTTAGAGTTTCATTGGGATATGACATGAAGTTGGTCACGTGATCAAATCCTATAACGCCCGAAGGGCGTTATAGTAGATTTGATCACGTGCCACCTTAATGTCATATTCCAATGAAACTCTAAAGTGATATTTTATTTCTTATATTTTATACTTTTATTCGTATTACAAAGAAAAATATTTAGTCTTTGTTATTAAAACGCAACATAAAGTACTTACGACGTCATGTGACGTCACAGTCGGAGCTTTCCAAGTGGCTCGCGCAGTTTGCTTTCTATACTCAAGAAAGTCTGATCACTTGACCAACTACATGTCATTGAAAATTGAATATCAATTTAATTCGTATTGTCATATAAGGAAAGACATTTGCAAATGTAAATATATGTACTTACATCTGTTGGAGTTTTTAATTAATAAAAAATACAATTAAATTGTAACCTTGGAAGGGATATTTCTATTAACAAATCGTCTACCGTCTTAATTTATAGGTCCCCATAGCTCAATGCAAAATTCATAGACAAAAGCCCAATCATTTAGAAAGATTTGTATATGTACCTTCAAAGGATGAATTAACGTTTTCATAAGAATTCACATGCACAATGCCAAATGATTATTAAATTAAGGGCACAGAAAAAGTCCATCTTTTTATCTTTGAGAAATGATCCATACTTGAATATTCGCATTTTGTGAATTTCATGAAATATCCTTCAAAAAGTTATATTTTGTTTCTCCCTTGTCGCCGAATCAGAATGAGTAAACCTTTGCCATAGAGCTGAGACACTGTACATCTTTGATATTTTTTGTCAAACATTTTGTAAAATACCACCAAAAATATAAGAACTGACTGCAGCCTTTTCGTCTCATTTGCGTCATTACATGTAGCTTTTAATTCCATTGCTTAAGTAGGCACACCAATAAAGTTCGTATACACTATGTGTCACTCTCTAAAACTTATTTTCATCATTTTAGAGGAACATATACCGAAACATATCAACAAGTTTATAAATGAAATAGTTATCTACAATTCGACAGTTGGACCATCTATCTTGTAGCTCTAACCACATTCTTTTAATTTCTGATGGATTATAGTGATGTCCCGTGATTCCATATCTGAAGTTTTTTCCACAAGGTCCCTTATCGCGATATCCACAGCTAAAGCCCTTGTGCTCTTCAGCACGGACGCCAATGTATTCCCTACATAGGCCAGTAATGTAAATATCCTCGAATATAAAATACGGAACTTTTTGTGTTGCACCGTAAAGGTTTTGTAAAATATCACCACTAATAAGATAGGCAGTTCCGGCTAAATAATCTGGATAGTAGTCTTCTTTATATTGTGTCTTTGACACTCTCCATTTAGTTCTTAGAAATCTAAACGGAGTAGATCCCTGAACCTTACATCCGGTTATTGAATTTTCTCTAGGATGTTTCGTTAGTTCATCCAGAAGTCTGGGAAGGTTTAAGAATATGTCGTCATCTACCTTTAGCAGATAACGAACGCGATGACAGTGCATTGATGCCCAGTGCAACATAGCAATAGACTTCCTCGTGAGGTTTTCATATGCTTCGTCAATGTCCTCAAAGAGAATATCATTGTAAATTTGGTTTTCAGTTGATGCTACGTCCTGGAGAGCGGCTTCTTTGCTCTTTCCTAACAGAAATTTCACCAGAACAGGCTTTTTCAAATTTGATACATTTCCCCATGTATTTCTGATGGCATTTCGTTGTTCAAAATTGGACACAGCACTTGGAACAATAATCAATAAGAAAACATCTTTTTCATTGCATGTTATAGGTTTCGACGGGAATGACCTGATGATCCCTGAGTTCACATATGATTGAACTAATTTGTAGGAAGTTAATTGTATATCATTTTTTGATTCTCTAAATGGTCTGCACACAAAGAAGATAATTAAATATACTAGTATTATCCATTTGAATACCAATTTTAATTTCTTTATCTTTGCTCTATCAAACATCTGAAACGAAAGAGAACACATGGAGATAATCAGATTTCAATCAAAATTTAGGTAGGGTTTCTGGTCTGTTTACCTCTATTGCTATTAAGTTCTCAGAGAGTGGTTTTTGTTCTGTTTTACTTCTATTGCTATTTTAAAATAGAAGATCAAGTATTTTCGCGAAAAAAAAAAATTATGAGATATTTTTAAAAATTTTTTTGAAACTCATCTGTTCCATTGAAAATGGAGATTTAAAAGTGAGGATAGGGCTTGATTACCAAGACAATTTTTTATTGGTTAAAAAGATGCTGAACATTTAATCAAGGACGACGGACCTAATTCGAAATTTCACGCCACTGCGCCGAAAACCGCGCATATGCCTTGAATCAAATTGACTTAATTATTGTATTGCAAAAGATAAAAAAATATATACATTTTTAATTCTTTTAAAGATATTCAAACGTTTCCTCCCAATTCAAAAATATTGTATATATTTCAATTTGTTGATTAATTGAAAATCCCCCCCCCCCCAAAATGTGCCCTACACCTGAATTTGACCCCCCCCCCCCCAAAGAAAAAAAAATCTAAGCCGATGACACATTTATTTTTTGGCATAATTTGCTGGTAAATTGTCTTGATAACCTTTAATATGAATAAAAAAAAATAATTTTTAATTATCACTCTTATACCCTTCACTGGCAATTTCCCATTACTTCCTATAGTAACTATCGATTTCCATTACCAATTTTTGAAACGCTCCCCATTAAAAATCTACATCGATGACCATATAATTTTTTTTTATTGATTTTAACTCACCAAAAGTCACTTTACCTCATATTAAAATTTGAATAAAAAATCTATTGCATAAATGAATTAGGTCCGTCGTCGTTAAAAGATATTTTCTTGCTACAATTTCCATTGCATGAGTTAATAACGAGTTTCTAACTATAGTTTTTCCCTATAATTTGGCAGTAAGACTGTGCAATATAAAAGCTTTGAGATTAAGAGTTATAGCTATTTAAAAAAAATATATATTTAATGTCATATCTCGCTTATTGATCGTTAAGGGTTGAGTTATTCATTTGAAATTTTATTTATACCAAATTTTATTTGCGCCCATTTTTCTAAATGTTATTTCATTTTTTTAATCACTAGGTTTTTCAAATTCGTAGTTTTTGAATTCATGTTGCAAATGTTTCAGTTCAAGCCTTGCATTGTCCATTGCAACACAATATCACAATTTTCGATAATAACCTAATTCTATCAAGCAATCGAAATAAAAATGCGACAAAACAAATACATAATTATAATTATATTTAGATAACAAAGGGCGAAAAAAGAAAAAAAAATCATGAAAACTATATGAAAGGTGTCTACAAGTACTCATAAGACAGAATCTTTCATTTTATAGCTGCTTCTTTTGTTTCATTTTCAGTTCTGCATTCCATACCCCCCCTTTTTTTTTTACCTTTACCAACTGTTCGCAAGATAAAAGACAATGTCAAATGTTTTCAACAATTTTTTTTTTATATTTCATTGAATTTTTAAGGAAGGAAAAGGATTTAAACATAAAGGACATGGATGGCGGGCAATTGATCTCACTTCTGATTTTTCGAGTGATCCGGGTTGTCCTTGCTCTCAATTTTGTACATTTTATTGGATGTTGAAGTTGATCTCTGCTCTTAATCTTCAAATTTTCATGCAATTGTTTATTTTCGTGTCTGCAAAAGGAATCGATTTAGTGATGGGCTAGACTTAAATAAAGAAAAATAAATCAATCAAGTTTTCACAAAACGATTTGCAGACGCGTTATCTTATTTTTGGTCTTGTTGTCGTTTTTTTAACCTCCTTTAGATTATTCATAGTAGAGCAGTTTAAAAGGGAAATAATCTTATCAACCAGCATATTTCCAATCATTGAAAAATGTATTTTACACTGTTACACTAATATGTTATAGAGTAAAACAATCTTAAAAAACATTTGTGTCAAAATTAAATATACCAGGGTTGCCCTTAAATTCTGTAGACTGAGGTCAAATCTTTTACAATTTTTTTTTTATACTTTTTAACATTTTCTGAGTAGAAAAAGTGCATTTTTGGCTGATAAGTTACGACGTTTTAACATGATTACTTAAAAATAATTCGATTAATACAAATTGTAGTGTAATCATCCCTAACACTCGGGGCAATATTCATCTTCAAAAAAGTAATACCTTACCGGTTCAGGTTTTTGGGGGGGAAATCCATTAATGACAGGTATCAATTCTTTAATCATAAATGTTTTAGTTATAATTTTGAAATACCTTAACCAATATAATATGATTTAACTTTAAAATATATAAACAAAGTATTTACTTGTACATGTATTAAATAATAATCATTTAAATAAAAACCCATGTTACTATTGGTTTTTCGTCTGTTTTCTCTAATGGAGTTACACAGTGTCACTTGATCGATCTTGCCCGATTCTTTGGCCAGTCGTTCTCTCTTTTTTTAATTTTTCTCTTCTTCACTTAATTAAAAAACCGTTTCGGTCATTTTCATAAAACAAGGATAAAAACATTGTCATGTTTACCAAACATATATGACGTTTCTGTAGGAGTGAATTCAAGATCTGAACATTTGATCACATTCTAATGCGCCGCCTGTGTCAAAGCAGCCGCCATTTTTCAACAAGCCAGGTTTCAAACCGGTATATATAAAACGCTATAAAATTCATATTGATGAAAGCATACACATGAAAATATGAAGAAAGGTAGTTAAAAATACAATATAAAAATATATTATTTCTATTTCCGAAAGTCTGAGTAGTAACTACTTTTTCGAAAGATTTAAAATATTATTATATACCGAATTTTAATAGCAAATGGGTACTGCGCCGCCTTCAATGAAATATTTTATATCAGTCTGTGTAACTACTCAATGTTTGTTTCATAAATGTAGTTTGTTTCATAAATGTATCAGTTATTGTTTAATCTTTGCACAACGTTTCATTAATTGATGACATAATTTATGGTTATACTACAAAACCACGGAATTTTTAGACAACCCTCATACGTGTACATGTATGCATGAATTCCATTCAAGACACATAACCCAAATTTACTTATAAAACTAATGTCTTTTAATTGTACAGATTTAACTTTAAAATGGAATAAATGAATTAACCAAGAAGGTTCTAATGGGAAATCACCTGAAGAAGTGTTTGTAAAAACCGACCAAATTTCTCGCATTTGATACCATATGATAGAAAAGATCTTGATTCTTGATTTTGCAAACCTGGACAACAAATATTTTTATAATATCATCATATTATTAATATGTCCTCCAAAATTTAAAGACAATAAAAGTATTCAACATTTGTTTTAATCCCCTTCCCCAAAAAAGAGAGCTTCCCATGAAAAAAAAATCTCTCATCGATCCTTAATGAGACAACTCCACTTGAATTGCTTTTTGAATTTACAAATTAAGTTTTCACATTACCCCCAAAATAGGTCCGGGGAACAAGTTTTTATTGTTCCATTTTTAATTCCATCTAACATTCTTTCTGTTTCTGTTCTTATAAAGTCTTATTGAAACTCTCAAGTATAAATATTCATTAAGTTAAGTTATGCATTCAACATTTGAAATTTTAAAAATCGACACCGTTGCCATGAAAACAGATTAAATATGGAAATCTTAATCTCATTTTTCTCAGTAATTACACTACCTATTCTTTTGAAAATTCACAGTTATTCTCTGCATCAGGTAATGCTCATCTCTGCTAAAATGGAGTCTGTTGAACAAACTTTTTAACTTGTGGGGAACAGTGGTGTAATTTTGACCGTTTTTTTTTTTTTGGTACTTTAGGTTTGTTCAAGTAAGTCTCTGTTATACTACAACTTTAACTGGATAATTTTCCTTTAAAATGCCTTTTATTTTTCGAATAACGTTTTTATTTGTATCATTCGTTATAATGAAACGAACAGTATTCAATCTCGAAAGTCCAATGAAACGATACAAACACAAACTTCAAAATTTAGAGGTGGGATCAGGTGCCATGGAGGAGTGAGCATCCCCTGCCGACAGGTCACACCCGCAGTGTGCTCCTTGTCATGATTGGGAAACAAAATCCGGAAATATCCGTAGACAGTTCAGTGTATAAATAATGGCCTAACAATCAGTATGAATAATATGAAATGAATTCGTTCGATTTACAAGATATGTGTGTTGGGTAACTTCAACCAATCACCGGGTAATTTCGACCACTGCGCCAATATAAGTGAAATAATTTGCGGCATCTCTAATATAAGAAAAAAATATACATTCAAATTATTTTGTGTGAAACATAAAAGATCGAAGTAAATAGCTGACAAAAAGAGACTGGCATTTTCAAAATGTGACTAATTTGAAAACATCGAGTGCACGTATCGAGGCTGATTTACTTATTTGTCAAGGCATGCTGAAAATGTACATGCACGCACAGATATTTAAATCACATGTTAACCGAACAAATGATCATAAGTTTTCACTGTCGTAAAATTAGTTTCTAATGAATATTCATGTATATGAAATAATACTTCTACTAGTTTTTCCCTACGGTCATGAGTAATTTCTTGTAAAAACCGTATTGCTGCAAATTGTATTGCGAATTTTTTCATTTGGTCGAAGTTACCCACTGACGCCGAATCTATGCAAGGGTAACTTCGGCCGATATCTGTTCAGCATCTTAATTTGTAAAAACTAAATATGTATGAATTTCAGTTGCAAAAACAAATTTGATAAATCCGTCAAGTCAGGAATATCCATTGATTATATTTTTCTATACAGATATTGTCAAAGGTGATAATTTATCCAATTTGTAAAAACTAAATATGTATGAATTTCAGTTGCAAAAACAAATTTGATAAATCCGTCAAGTCAGGAATATCTATTGATTATTTTTCTATACAGATATTGTCAAAGGTGATAATTTATCCTAATGGTTATTTATACTTGTTAGTATTGGGGGGGAGGGAGGGGGGGATGGAGCTTTTTTGGATATCGTTATATTCGTGGCGACAT